ACATCAAATATCTCATCCTGATAGGTTACAACTTGCCTACGCAGCTCGTATCTGAGTCCAAGGGCAAATTTACGACATCGATCTCTCTCAGTAGGTACCATACTGAATCCATACTTCAGCAACTCAAGAACTCGATCTCATACTCAGAAACAATCATGTCTCCCTGAACCAGGTCTTGAAACTGCTGACGTCTCTGAGCTAAGTAGCGCTCTCCCAGAAAATGACTCCGAAAGCGATCCTTAAAGAAATTCCAGGTCAAACGATCGGTAGGAACACTACTGGTCACTGACTCCCACCAAGTGTAGGCATTGCCATCTAACATCGCCACAACACCCTGATATCTCTTAGTTGAGTCTAAACCCAACTGATCCATGCGTCTCTCTGTATCCTGGAGCCAATCCTCAGCTACAGTAGGAGCTCCACCAATCTGTCCCCCAAAAGTTCTAACTCCATTGGCAATCAAAGTCTGCGAAATAGGAACCTCCGATACAACACCAGTAGCTCTGACTGCTCCCTGTATCAACTGCAGAAATTGTCTACCAAAATTCTCATCCAAAGCAACTCCGGTAGACTCTGACTCAATATCGGTCGCTCCTATGATCGGTGTAGTCATGCCAATACCAGCGGTAGGAGGCAGATTCGTTGGAGCATGATCACCTATCGGAGGTGGGGGATCTACCCGTATCTCATCGATCGGATCTGCAAATCTAGCCACTCGACCTCGTCCACGGCTAGTTCGACGACCACGTCTAGCACTCATTTTTGGTGGATCTCGAGTTTACTATAAGAGATAAAACTTAGGGTTAGACAAGCATTTAGAGTCTCGAACACAGTTAAAATCTTAATAACTTGTGACATGGCCTTAGTAACTTGTTTTGTAAAATATTTCTAAAACTGTATTTTCAATGTGGACTCATACACAGTCCGAGGGTTAAAAACCAAAAGCTCTGATACCAATAAATATAACCCCCTAGACCCGGCCTATGCGTTTTGACTAAGTCTAGTGGATCACATACATGATTCTTAAAGACATTTTCTGAAACCGTTATTCAATCATTGTAAAATCACATTATAAATGACATGATATTATACTATCAAAACTCAACTCATAAATATAATATCAATAAGTAATAAATTAATTTAAAACATGTCTTAAAAATCATAATCACGATAAACCGGATATTAATAGCAAAAGTGTAATCACTATAAAATCCAATACTTTAAAATAAGGTCCATGTCACCAAAATAAAGTCAACCTGAAAGATAAAAACATTACAATCATATATACTTCAAGAGATATGTTGATCCTCCAAGTGCTCAATCCGGGGTATCTAACCAACAGTATTTGAAAGGGGGAAAACATTTTCGAAAAGTGAGCTAGGCTCAGTGTGTCCCAATATTACCTTAAAATCACAATAGGTACATTAAACAAATCATAGTCCAGTAAATCTCATAAATTCATAAAGAGTTTAACTTTTGAAAATCATAGTTTAAATTCTTTTCTTGTACACCATCAGTAATTTCCAAAACTATTTTCCATATAGCTTACTCTAAGCACACAGCAAAAAGAAAGCCAACCTAAGGATAAGCTTTAGAGCTTGTATCCTTAAGCCCGTAAGTCCAAGTCCATATAGCTTACCCTAAGCACACAGCAAGGGAAGCCAACCTAATGTATCTTGGGGCCCCAAGAGTCACATTAGGCCCATTCTGTTTATTAGCTTGATCAGAGCTATACTATTGTAATTCAATCCAAAAGTTCAATTGCACCGTGACACAAATTCCATAAATCATCACATTAAATTGGTGCATCAATAAAACAATAACCAAAGAACTCAGTGTACCTCATATTAAAACCAATAAAACAGTTCAGTAATAATTATGGAACACACCTCGATAATAGGTTCAAATAGTAAATCTACTGATTGCTGGTTTCACCACGCTATGCTACAGTTTTCAAACCTATTTTATAATAATAACACTATATTACTTATGGGTAACATAAATAAATCTATAAAATCATAAAATTTACGGGTCTTACGGGTGAATACTAGCACACGTGGTTTAATTGATCTCGAGGAGCTGGGTCGAGCTGTCGAACGATTCGGAGAGTCTCTTGTACGTTCAAACAATAATAATTTATCAGCCCCTAATCTTACTTAATTGTTCAAAACTAAATTCTTAAGTATATAAGCATTTTCAGGGTTTGACTATCAATTTGGAGGATTTCGAGTCTGAATTTGGTCAAACGGATTGCAGAATCAGAATCAGGACGTCGAAAAACATAAAGTATGACTTTTTGAAAATTTAAATTCTTGGTCAAAGTCAAAGCCAACCACTTTGACCGTCGATTTGGAGGGCTTTGGGTTCGAATTTGACGAAACGGACTTCGGAAACGGATTTGGGACGTCGAAAAGTATCAGAATAGATATACTCGGAAAAGATTAACGGTCGTTTAATGTTCGGTTAAAGTCATTTTAAGTTTTGGTCAAAGGAGGTCAACGTTTAATGGTCGGGTCGGGTCAACGGTCGGGTCGGGTCTGTCGGGTCGGGTCGGGTCAGATCAATCAAACCGGTTTTCCAGCTGCTCACTCTCCTTACGGTGGCGCGTGTGGCCTCCTCCGGGGGTCTAAAAATTACGGAAAAATTTCCAAAAATTATTTTGAGCGATTTCGAGATACGTACAACGATCGGTTCAAATTTTTGAATGGCGGAGAGCTCGAATTTTAACTCGGCCGAATCTTTGACTGCTCCACCTCCTCATACGCCGCCGTCAACGGCGAACAAGGTTGACATCGGTGGACTCGCAACGACACAAGGAACACGATGGTGCAGGAGGTGTCGTAAACGAAGCAACGATCGGCGGTGAATTTAAGATTTTCCCGGTGATAGAGCTAACAAAAACGTCGAGACTTTGACTATAAATTCCTGACATTTGGCAGCGTTTCGCTAAAATTAAATTGAAGGATTTGTTCCTCGCTAGATGATGAACACAACAACGGTAGTTTCAAAACGATGATCGGAATTCGGACAGCGTCTAGATCGGGGTCGGGAACCTGCATGGGGAAGAGAATTGGGAGTGGTTTTTTGTTTTTGAAAGAAACCACGTATATAATATATAACCCCAAACTTACCTAATTTTTTTTGGGTAAATTCAGGGCTTAGTCCCTGAATTTTCTTTAACTTTAAAACAAGCTCCAAGTTTTAAAATCTTTCAATTTAGTCCCCAAATTTTCTCCAATTTTCACAATTAACCTCTAATTTCAATTAAATACTATTTTGTAAATATTCGGGTTGTTACATTATTCTCAAATGAGAGATATATGTTTCTAGGCTTACCCTGAGAGGGTATTTATAGCCTTCAAATTCCTAAAAACAAGCAAAAATATCTTAAATCCTAATTAAAACACTTAAAACTATTTAAACTAAAATACCCAAAAAAATATTTAAACTAATATTCTAAATCCTAATTAAAACACTAAAACATATTTAAACTAAAATACCTAAAACAAAGATAAATATAAATAATATCCTAAAACTTAATTAAAATACTAAAACCTATTTAAACTAAAATATAAAGAAAAATATATGATTAAAATATTATCCTAAACTTGAGTTTAATTCAAATCCGAATTTCAGCCAATTTTGATTCCGAATATAAAAAAATTGCAGAATTCTGTTCTTTTTGTGCAATTTCCAGAATCTGACGTCCTGCAGAGAAAATGAATCAAAACAAATGATTAAGCCACAAAAACCAATGATTAAGGAGTAATTTAAATTCAAAATATTAACTAAATTAAGCACTTATTAAATTCTCTCTCACTTATTCAATGCTTGTCATCAAGCATCATCAATTAATACATCCAAATCACAAGTTGTCTTTAATTTCAATTTATTCCTCAAATTTCCAATCAAAGTGTTTGGGGTAAATGAAATAGCTCAAATCGAAACTAACCAAAATATTACCATAGGTTTGGAATCCAATCAGTATTCACTACGAAAAATGAACATAATGCAATAATCAAGGGTCTTTAAACAAGGTGTAACGAGGCTTAGGTTAGGGTAGGGAAAGACCGAAAAGAAAAGTTTAAAATACCGAAACAAAATATCAAAATAATTAAGAACAGTCCATGAATTAACATGAAGCACAATGAAAAACAAAACAAGAAAAAAGATGAAAGACAATTGAAGCGATCGATTTTCCTTCCTTTTTTTTTGAACAAATGGTCTTTTTTCTTCTTCTTTATTTTGTTGTTCAAAATAGTGAACAACTTTTTTTTTTAATTTTTTAAACATTGATTTTTTTCTTCGTGAAACAACAATGATACAAGATCTCAAGTCTCGCCAAGGGTGTGAAAAGAGAGGAAAAATAAAAAGAAAGACTTCGGGTTTAATTATAAAGTGTAAAAAAAAGAAAGGGAAATAGACTAAATGTGGTTCACTAGTAGATATATAAACGGGTAGACTCACTGGACGCCATCATCGTTACTATCAAAAAAGAGAAAGTTACCGTTGGAAAACAAATCAGGCGTTGTTGGGTCCATTTTTCTACAACTGTGATGATCATGTGCCCTCCACCGTCCACCGTTGTTGCCACATCGGTTATGCTTGCTGTCACTAAGGGAGAGTCACCGGTACTAAGGTCAGACTGAGATACGAGATGAGTGTTAAGTCCATCAATCAAGGGTTTGGTTTCATTGTTTCGATCAGTTTATGATATGGGTCAGGTTAACTGAGTTAGGATAGAAATGGGTCGATTACTCTGCTTTTCATTATCTCCAATCCCCTTATTTTATTTTTAGTGACATGTGAGTTATGGGTAAATTATGAGATTAGTCCCTGAACTTTTTGGATTTCTGAAACTAACCCAAAAGTTTTAGAAACTCGCAGTTTAGTCCAAAAAGCAATTAATTTTTTAATAAATTAAAATTGAAAAATTGGGGTTGTAACAGGAAAATACTAGAGACGATCATATCTTATATACCTTCTAACATTTGAGAGAATGATAGGTTTTCTAACTTTGGTTTATTGGTTTGAAAGCATATGAAACTCATATCAGTACCTGTAATTTGGGGCGCAATGCTTCAAGTGGTCCTTTAGGCTTTTTTGCTCCTTGCTGTTGAACATGTGACAAAACACATTAAAATTTGAAACCATAATTGCCATTCAACGTCAAAAGACAACAATTTAGAGTTACGCCATACTACCTACACTTACCTTTCTGAGTGCCCAATCAGCTGAATCGAAAAATGCACGGTCATGGTTCTAGCAGACAATTCAAATGTTCTGTCAGCAACCTCTCCATTTAGTAAACATATGGGGAAGAACTATGTCGCCCGAACTCTCTGTTAATAATAAACATATCCATATCCATATTGGATGCAACAAGAGTCCGGATAACAGGGAGAGTAATAGTAGTCAAAGCAAAGAAACCTTTGATATTAAAGTTGGGTTTTCGGTAATATCCTCCATACTTTTCTGATTGCTTCTTCCTGTAAAAGTCAAAGCAAAAGAATAAAGTTCACTATTGAAATATATATATATATATAACCATGCAATATTTCATATGTGGTAACGAATTTTTTCAACTTTCATTTTACCTCTCTGGCTGAGGGCATCAGATCTTTTCATTTTCGTTTCCATCTGCATCTTTCAGTCTTTTGATACATCAAATTCTTCACCAAAGATTGATGTTTTTCATCATCGACTTGAATTTTCACTTTCATTCATCCCTTCTTTTCCTTACATCCTCAACTCCATTAGTTTGTGACATATTGCGGCTATTTTTTACAGTTAATTGCTGTTCACTGAAAAAAGAAGAAGCAAGAGTCCATATGAGTTACAGAGTGAAGGTCAGATTGGAGCCAAAGTTTCGCTTCTGATCACCAACCAATTTAACACTACTAGAAGTAGAAAATAAGATCAGAATACAAAATTGAACAAAAAAAATTATGCAAGTATAGGTGATTTACCTGGTGAACGATCCAAGCTGGAAGCTTGACGGGCAGAAGTAAAGGGTTTGATTACCGACTTCAATCTCCTAATCTTTTTTTAACCATAGCATCAACACGAAGCCTGAAAAATACGCAGGGAACATGTCTTTCATGGGGGGTAGGTGCAAGGTGTTGGGCTGTTACATGGATTGGGTTGGGTTAGAATCTCAACTGTTTTGAAACAAGGGCCCAAGTTCTGTCTACTACTGTGTTTCTTGGCTGCTGGCTACTGTTTTTCCAGAGCAAACTCTGTTTGAGATAATTCTATATAAAAAAAAAGAACTTTTTCTACCTTTGTGCTTCAATGTTTGTGACCATAAAAAGATAGTTGGGGTCACCATATCAGCCCCCATAGCTTCATAAGATCAGAAGATGGTCCCAATATCCACCATTGTCCCATTATCATTACATGATGACCAGAATTAATCAGTCTAGTCCTCCCTATGTGATATCATCCTTAACTCTTGGATATCTTCATTTAATCCTTCTTATTAATCTGCGTGTGAACTACTTCAAGCTTGAGCATGAGATATTTTGGACAATGATGATCTAGCGAGCAAATTGTCAAATTGGTAAAGCAATGGATAGGCATCAAAAACTAGTTGAGGGTGGGACTAGGATGCAAATATTCAATAGGATAAAGTAAGCTTTTCTTTTTGTACAAAGGAAGCGGCAGTCCGGAATAGAGTATGTATTAATCAACTAGACTAAGCTATGGATTCATATCATGTGTATATATATACCTACCTCATTCACGCTATGGCACCATTGTTCTTCAAACTCTTTTCTGCAGAATAATGATATCATCAAGCCTCCATTTTCATAGTCTTCAAATAAAAGAAAAATTTCTGTCATAGAAACATTTCTTCTTCTTTTAAGCCGAACAAAGTTGAAGACTATTAGCTTTAGCCTAAAACATACTCTGCTGCATTATGGCCCTGCTTTTAGTTCCCAAAAATAGGGTCAAGCTCATCAAATCTACCTTTTAACTAGGTTTCGTAAAAACTACAAGTTGTTTCCCATTGCTGGATCAAACCAGATCTCATCTAAGGTCTAGCATGTGTAAATGAGGTAAAGTACTGCAGCCAAGGATGACTTGCGGCCATCTAATTTATCTCGTCCATATATTATGGTATTTCTGGATTAATATCTATGAATCTTTACCATGAAGTCATTAAGTTAATTTTGTCGCCAAAGATTTGAATTTTTCATTGGAATACTATTGAGAAGCTAAAATAAGTTTGGAAGACATAAATGAAACAAACATTGGTGGAGTTAACATTGATTCGGCAAGTTGTCATTGGCTACAATTCTCTCTCATTTTACATGTTACACCTATGATGATAATAGACTGGAAATGGCAAAGAATATGGAGCACTTTCACATGAAGGTAATGGAGGAGGTTCAAAACCATATGTGGCCGAATTGGATCACCTTATGAAGTAAGTTTCCATGCTGATGTGCGTAAAATTATATATGATTTAGATCTAACATTGCATTCATTTTATCATGCTTTAATGCTACCATTGTATGAAACAACTGTCTGGGGTTAGCATAAATGAAAAATTCATATCATAAGATAATTTCCATTACAAGAATGCTAGCCGTGTTCTGAAATTTGCAGTAAGTTTCAACACATTGCATTCACAGAATCTAAGGTGCCAATTTGTAGGGTTGATTTGCCTTATTATCCGTTTGGGTTCCAAGTATATGGAGGAAATAAGCAACGAACGAGACTAGTGTTTCCTTTCTGTACAATGACATCAATGCATATAGTCATGTCCCACTCCCATCCCTTTTTTGGTTTTTTAATGCTGATACAGCTCGGACCAATCAATTCATTCGCTTTATTGTTCTTCGGAAAGGGACAAATGCAATTAATAGGCCAAAAGGGGTCATTGCTGGTTTGAAACAAATTAAGATGACTGATTTTAGGTTATTGGAAATAGTTGGTTCTTGCCACAAACAAGATGTTTGCTGGAAGCTGTCATGACTGGCAACCTGACCCTTCTTAACCAGGAATGCTTGGGATCCCCATAAAAAATGACGAATCTCTAATGTATGATTAGATGTACCACTTTACGACTGAGATACGAGTGTTTAGGACTTGAAAATATTTTCTGTCACAAAACGAACAGCTATTTGCTAGAAGCTCAGAGGAGCTGTAATACGACGTCCCTTATCACCACAAATGCTTATATCATTCTGCAAAATATGTTTAAAATGATAGGGAAAATGTAGAATCTCTAATGTAAGAGCTCCTTTAGCACTTTTATGACCACAATTGCAAACTTTGAGGACTTGAAATCAACTGATAAACCAAATAAGGCACAAGAAAAATGCTTTAATTTTGAAGACGTGTTTCGTTGTTTCCAGTGCTGTGAGAAAAAAAACAGGAACATCAGGCTAAAGTCACATGTGACATGCATAAAGTTTAACCAGACAGAGATTCAACATTCAAATCCCTAGGGAGGGTCCAACTTATTAAACAATCTACAGTACGGAAAATCAAAATTATTGTCAGGCTGAGATTTTAGCCAAAATTCCGTTCAGATGATTTCAGTCATTCAGTCATATAAGTTACAGTGTCCTGACATAAAGACTCATCTTCTCTTTGTCTGTCTTTTCAGTTCAGGTTCGATAAGGAATAAAAAGCACCATTAACGTCCATAGATGAAATTTTCAGCTCCTTGAAAAAGATATCAAGTGGTCTTTGATATAGCAATCATATAAGATTAGTTTCTGATGAAAAACACAGCAAAACACTATCTCTGAACTTTCACCTAATTTCCACTTTGATTTTGTTCTTTCTACTGGATTCTAAGAGAAATCCATATGTATTTGTTTAAATCTGCATCTTTCACACTGCTTCATCTAGTAATTAGTTGCAGCAATAGTATGAATTTAGGACCACTTGAGCCTGGTGAAGCATCTGACTAGGCGACCACATCAAAATTGATCAGTGGGATCGCTATGCTGTAATCCATACTGAACACTAGGGAGTGCTATAGCAACGGCCACTACTGAAAAACGCTTCGTCCTATTCTCTCATTCCATCTAACTAATGCCAAATATAGGAACACAGGGAGAAGGTTAATCTCATTAGAAACTTGCCAACATTGGTCAGGCCTTTCGCTGCAGTCTTCTGTTTATACTAATAAATCATTGCTTCAGCTATTGGTCACTACTAGTTCTAAAACTGCATGCAACAGTGAGGAGGGCACTAAAAATGAAAAGCTCCGGCGCTGCCTTTACTACGGTTTGAGGGGAGCTGGTTTTAGGATTTTAGTATGTTATGTAATTGTGTTTTTTTTAACTGTCTAAGATTGTCTACTGTAAAATATATATAAATTAGAAAAGCTGCAAAACTGAAAGTATTCTCACTACATTGAACCTTCGGCATTCTTCATCTACTGTATGAACAAAAGCCGCTAATTATATATATATAATCCTAAAACGAGTTATTGATCACGGTATCTGTGTTGATAAGCCTGCTTAATGTCTCATCTCATATTATGTAACCTCTCAGCTGTTGTTCCCTTGAAACAAATGGGGAGCAGCAAAAAGAAGCCTAATAAAGCCATAGGAAGTAGGCCCCCATTTGTGCCTGTTAAACTAATGTCACAAGGCTATCGAACACTGATTCGGCTGGTCAATCGACGGTTATGTATTATCAGCAATAGATGCTACTCCTATAGATATGGCATACTTCAAAGAATTCTGCAGCCGATTAAAGCTAATTTGGTCCCTGTATTATTAGAAAGCTAATTTGGTCTTTTGTAGTCTTGTATATTTCAAATCTTACAATTTCGATCCTTTCTCAATAGTTGATGTGTTCTCTAATTTTATCATTTTAAACCCTGTAATTTAGCAATGTAGTGTCTATATTGTTTGATTTAGGACTGAAATTTTAAAATTTAAAATAATATAAGAACTAAAAGTAACCAAATTAAAGTATATAGAGTAAAGATATAATTTATAAATGGTAGAGAACAGATTGACAAATTTGACCCAAAAAGGCGTTGAATAAACAAATGGTTCTAATTGAGGCCCATGGAAGGAATATGGGACTGAGATGTATTTTCTTTAAAGCCCGCTGTTAAAGACAGTAGCCTTAGTATGAAAACAAATAAAAAGCCTAGTTTCTCAATCCTCACTATTTATTAGTCTCCAGCTTCAAGTAATCTTTAAAGTCACCCCCCTTTGTTCTCAGTCTCTATGCATTAGGGTTTGCCGATTGCATTTTCCCTAAATTTCAACTTCTTTTCGCCTCTTGTTTTTGTAATTCCCTTTCCCTCTTCTTAATCTTTTATTTGCCGATTTTCATTGAAAAAATTATTATTGTTTTCTAGCTTCTGCGCTTATATGCAAAACATATTGAATTGTTTGTTATTTTCTTTATTGTTTCATTGACATGTTTTGTATGTTGTTTATTTCAGATTTAATTTAGTTTTAATGTATTCGTCCAGAGGGACGAATGCCTACGGGCAGCAGTCCTACGTTGGCCAATCCGGATACTCTCAAAATGTGAGCCTTTAATTTAATGATTTCGTGTTAAAGATACCTCTTCCAGATCCTCTTTTGTAATTCTTTCTAATGGTTTGTTTTAATTTTGTTATGTATTATGATGGGATTGAATGGAACTGATTTTGAAACGTTTTTGTAACGTTAGACTGGTTGTTTTTGTGAAAAAAAAACAAACAATTTTACTTTCTTTATATTAACGTCACACTTCACCTTTTTTTCAAATTATTAATCCAAAATATTTACTGTAGCTGTATGTATAAAATATTTATTGGATTTTGAGGTGTGGCATTTATTGTGGTTGCGGACAATGGACATAACCAATGCTATTGTGGTCACCGCCGATAGCGCTGCAATGATTGTTACCTTGTTGTAAAACATAATAATTGCGGGATAATAGTAGAGTTGAATTATTTTTTTAATTTTACCTTAATGGAACAATAACTGAAATAGCCACTCGCTATTGCCTCACTTAGCCGTTAACTGTTAAATTGTGGCCACAATCCACAGCTATTGGTGTGATTCCGCTTCACACAGCTGTTTTCGGAAATAGCGGTTTTGGATGGCGCCACCACACCACTATTCTGCTACCCTGCTGCTATTTAATTCCCTGGTGGCAACACGTCTAAATTCCTGGATTTTCCCTGGCAATAGCACTTTATAGTATGTGTTATAACTAAAGACTTATCATGGGCCTGATTTTGTTTACAATTTTGGCAAAATTTTGTAGTTGGGTGCTGTTGGTTATTCTGGTAGTTCTGTTGGAGGACCTAACGGCGGAGCTCAAATGCCATTGTCTTCTCGGCATTCATCAATTTTAGGCAGTTCTCAAGATGCAGAAGTTGGTGGATACAGAGCCCATACCTCAGTTTCAGCTCATTATGGGGGTCAGTATAGCTCTATATATGGCACGGCTGCTTTAAGTGCTACTCAGCAGGTCAGTGGAATCTGTTTTCTTCACTTATGTATATGTTCTTGTAACTTGTAAATCTTCAATTTTTTCTTTACTTTTTAAGACTTACCATAGATATTCAGGGGACAAGGTTGGTTTCAGTTGCTATATGCTGTTTATCTTTTCCTTGGGAGTTTATGATATACACAATATAGTTAAATTTGGTAATGGAAAATATTGTTAGATTGTATTGAATGGAATTTGAATTTGATGGTTTTTTATACGTACTAGGTTCCTGCTGCAAGTTCCAAAGGGCGTGGAGCATCAGCTTTGGAAGATCGTAATGCTTATGCCTCAACTCTGCCAGATTCACCAAAATTTGCATCGACTGATTATATTTCATCATCAAGTCATGGTTATAATCACAAAGGTGATCAAATGTATGCCGATAAGATTCCTGACTATCCTACTGTGGAGAGAAGACAATTTGGAGAACGACAGGGCGGTTATCTGGGGAGGGATTTGCCTAATGAGCCAACTGGAAGATATTCTGATTCTATTTTTGGTCATCAGCATCAGGTCAAGCTATTTCCTAATGTTCTGGATATAAATGTGCTCCACCATTCTCCATTTTGTAATATTGTTCCATGTTCTTTGTTTTAAATCTTTAATGTTTACTATCTTTTGTAACAGCCTGACATATATGATCGTCTTGATCAAGCTGTCTTACTTCGACAAGAGCAATTGCTCAAATCTCAATCAGTCTCTAATGATAGTTGTTCGAGGTATTTATCACTTTTGTAGAATATTTACTGTACAATTTCCAGTTGAAGATGTTTGTGCATAATAGCAACAGATTTTCACTTGTAGTAATATCATTGTGAATTCGATGTATGGCCAAGGCCAACCTTCTCATCCTTAATGGTGATAGTCTATTGACTGTTTGTTAGACGGTAATATATTGCTTACTAGACTGAGTAGCAACACATTTATGGCAGACAAGCTGATTATCTTGCAGCAAGGAGTGCTGCTACTCGTCATTCCACCCAAGATCTTTTGTCTTATGGGGGAAGATTAGATGCTGATCCTCGCATTTCATCATTGCTGAGCTCTTCTTCTTATGGTGGACAAACCCCTTCGATATTAGGGGCAGCTCCAAGGAAAATGTTGATGATCTCATGTATCCGCCTAGCTCTGCAAATCCTGGTTATGGTGTGAGCTTACCACCTGGTAGAGATTATGGAACAAAAGGGCTTCATGTCACAACCCTCGAGTCTGAATATCCTGGTAGTACATTATCACGCAAGGACGACAGGGCTGGTTACCTTAGGGAATTTGAGATGAGAGAGGAGGAACGTCGTCGGATCATTTGCGTGAAAGAGAGAAAGACAGGGAGAGGGAACGGGAACGGGAGCGTGAACGACTACGAGAACGAGAACGTTTGCGCATCTTGGAGCGACGGGAGAAGGAAAGAGAGCGGGAGAAGGAGAGAAACGAGAGCACAAGCGTGCACTTGACATTACGCGTGAAAGAACTCCGGCGAGAGTTTCTAGGGATCACCGTGGTCCATCTTTGACAAAAGAGGCCCGACCTTTGAGGCGAGAATCCCCGCGTCGTGAAGTTTCACATAGGTGGATTTTGATGTTTACATTCCATCCTGCTCTAGTTCTGAATGCTTAGCTCCTTGTGTTTCTTAATAACTAACTTCATGTTATCTATTGCTGAAGGCGTCTTTCACCTGTTAAGAAAAAAGGAGAGATTATTATGCAAGGTAAAAGGACAGTGCAAGAGTTTCCATTCGGAGATAGTTTAAACTTCTTCAAGAATTTGCTTTTTCCCTTTTGGAATCTGATTTATATCTTAAATCTTCCTGTTATTGCTCTTTCACGGGCATTCAAATCTTCTGCTGCTTCCTGTTGGTATTTGCCTCATGGTCTGCGGTGCTTGTTGCTTGGTTCCTAAACCTAGAGAGTTCTTCATGTGCTTATGTGTTGTTGCTCACTTTTATGAGTGTGTTGTTTGACCCATTGTCTCCGGGGCACCTCTTATGATTCTTTACTTAGGTTTCAATTTGCTCCTTCAATCCTCTAATTTCTTTGGTTCTTTTCTTTTCCACATTCTCTTATCCTTTTCCCCATTGAGTAAACACTGTATACCTTCTATGGAGACTATTTCAAAACTTTCAGAGCTTCCTGGGTTTATATCGGCAGACTGCTCTAAACAGTGGTGGTTCGTTGCAACTCAGTTTTCCAATTTATGAAAATCCCCTATTCTAGAGGATTTGTTGACTTTTCTGAGTCAGAGACCTTTTCCAGTATATTTTCCTCTAATATTGATACGTATTTTTTTTTTTACTTTTTGTATATGCATGCCATTTGTAATGTTCTTAATCCTTTTAGCAATGTTCTACTTACTTGCAGGTATATTCGTCCAACTTGACAGATGTAGAGAGAGGCTATTTATCAATTGATAAACGATGTCCAAGACTTTTTGTGTGTCCTGAATTTTCAAAGGTCTTTTCCTCTCAAAATTCAGTTGTGCATTAAATTGGCATTCTTAGGTATTCTGTTTTACCAGACATCTTCAACTATTGTAGGTTGTTATAAACTGGCCAAAGGAGAATCTTAAGCTCTCCATGCATACTCATGTCAGGTATCAACTCCTGGATGTCTTTGTTACTTGAATAAGCTTTTGACATCTCAACTAGCATTGATTTTTTGGTTTTGTTTCTAAAGAATGAATGGGTCTTGCCATCATGGATGTATGTTTTTTATCCACGAGCTGTTAATTTCTTAACCAATTAATTATTTTTTGTATGTGAATGCATTGTTTTCCATAAAGCTTGAACTTTTCCTTTGTGGAATAACAAAACAATTCAGCCAAATATTAGTTCTCAAAACTTAAGTAGCTTGAACCCCAATCAGCTTCCTTCCCCATTTTCATTTCATCTTCATTTCTCCCTCATTAAATCAACCAAATGATTTTGCATCTTATGCTTTTATGAAATTGTAATAGTTTAATTTCTGTTGAGTGAGCAGCTTTGAGCATGATTTCATTGAAGATAGTTTAGCTGAATCAAAAGAACATTCCAGCAAGCTTGTGCCTGCTGAACTGGAAAAGCCTGAACAGGGAAGCACAATGTGGAATGCGAAGGTGGGTCATTTGTAAATGTATCATCTATGCAAAGCTATAGTTTCATATTTCTTTATTATGGGAGTTTTCTTAAGCCATTTGAACATAATATATGAATGATGGAATTGAGTTGTTGATTAAAGCACTTAAACTTTGAATGTTTGCTTTGGTATTAATGTAACTTCCATTTCAGTAGTGGTTTTAAGAATCCAACTTCGTTGAACTAATGTGCTACTTTGGATCCGAGTTTCTTGAAATAATGGTGTTTCTTGGTTGGCTTGCAATTGAGAGGACTTGGCTTCAAGCAGTGCTTGCCTTGCTACTATATTATTTTGGTTGAATTGGCATTATAATTACTTGGTACTTTGGTGTTATTCCTTATGCCCTTAGATGATCTTCTTGTTAGTTTCATCTAGATGACTATTGCATAGAATCTAGTTTCCCAACAGTTTACTTTTGTTATCCACACTGTCATGATTAAGAAAAGCCTTGAGGGGTATATGTTGGTCAATTTACTATAAGCATAATCAGATATAGTAATCGTGCACATAGTTTGTTAATTTGTTATGACACTCATTTGAACGTGCTGAAGTTTTGTAAGGATTGGTGCATTTTGTCAAAGTTCATATGGTGAAAGGAAGAGAATTCTTTCTTGTTGTCAATGTTATTGTATCATATTTTGACTTTTATGACAGTGAAAACCTGTAGAAGAACGAGGTAGAGTGTGATGTAAGTAAGCAGTGTATTACTTTGAGGTTTCTTTTATAAAGTTGACGGGTATAATTCCTGCATGATTTAAAATATATCACCTGCTTTTCCCTTTGAATTTCTTTGATAGGAATATTTAAGATATATATCAAATATGATTTGAATAATGTTTTACTAATGTATATGTGATTTTGTTCAGATGATTTTGATGAGTGGATTAAGCAGGAGTGCTTTAGAAGAGCTGTCATCTGAAAAAGTCCCTGATGACCGCATACCTCATATTTGCAATATTCTAAGGTTTGCTGTTCTTAAAAAGGACCATTCTTTCATGGCAATTGGTGGGCCTTGTGTTTATGCTGATGGCAGCAATCCTGCTGGTGATGAGTTCTCTCTAATTCAAACGGCCCTTAGGTTTGTCCTGTTCCGTTCTAATTGAATGCTATGTATATCATGATTCATTTCTCATTTGGAGAATTATTTTACTGGAGCAGGTATGCAAAGGAAGTTGTTAATCTTGATTTGAAGAAATGTCAGAATTGGAATCCTTTCCTTGAGGTATTATTATTCATTCTGATTATCACTAGAAACCTTGTCATGAAGTGACAAAACTGATAAAAGCATTTTTGCTTTAGGTCTGAAAATAATTCTTCACGATCCTCATATATTTTATTTTTTTGAACCTATTGCTCAGGCTTAAATATAAAAATGTTCACTCTATTGGACTTGAAATCCTTTTACCTTCTCAGCACCCACGATCAGCCCTTTTATTGGTTTATGTATTTGTTATTTTTGGTCATTGTCTAGACCAGCCACTCATGTTAGAATCACAGACTGCTAATCTTTATCTGGTTTTCATCATGAAAGTAATTTGGGGAAATTACTTTCTTTCTTCATATGCTATTTGATCTTGGCAACTATATGCTGGTAAAATGGTAGCCAAAACTTAAGGAAATATGCAACTATGCATGATGGCAAAATGGTTACTTAAACACAATGAAATTTTCTAAATTATAGTTTGTTGATTCTGTTGAATTGTGCGAAACTTATCTGGTTTCTAGTTTTGTGGGTGGCAAGAATTCATTATGGCATTTCCTATCCGATGAGCTCTGCAGTTGTATTCAATTTTTTCTTGCTGTATCTTAAGTTAAATTTTGTTCCTTGGACATACAAGAATCTACTTAGACTTTTGAGCTTTCTTGGTTATTTGCAGATACATTATGACAGAATTGGCAAGGATGGGCTGTTTAGCCATAAAGAGGTCACGGTACTCTTTGTTCCAGATTTATCTGAATGCCGCCCTTCACTTGATACATGGCGAGCCCAATTGTTAGCTCACAGAAAAGCTGTTTCCGAGAGGGAGCGCCAGCTGTGTTTGAAAAGAGAGGTAATTGTCCTATTTTATTTTTTTCTGCCTTTCTGCTAGGTTTCCTGACCTCAATTGAATGTCCGAAGCAATGCATCTTTGTATTTATGCATGGGCTTTGTTAAGAAGATGCATTTGCTTAGTCTATTCATGTGAAATGTGAACCTGTGATTTATAAGCAGACACGTTGGTTCACAGAACAACATACCACAAATAGAAGTACTAACAGAAAGCAAAATGCCAAAACCTTTATTGGGTATGCTTTACTTAAATGGATGTCATGCATGCTAAACTTCTTGATCCTTGGACTTTTGTCAAATATCAGAAGATTTTGAACAAACAATAGCTTTGAGCATTACATGCAAGGAAACTGTCAATTCCAAACCACTTGATCAGTTTTGTGTTAAGATGGAAATATCGGTGCCCTTAGTTTCTTATATCTTTCTCAACATTTATATCTATTGTAATTAAATAAGGAATAGTCAAGGTGTTACTTGACTAATGGAAATATTTTTTACTTTCAGAAATCAAAGGAGAGGAAGGAAGGATCAAAAGGTGAATTGATTGTTTACAAATTTCATCATCTTATGCATTTTCTTGCATATATTCTATGGGCAGATCAGTAATGAATTGTGTCAATAGTTTTTCCCTTTACTTCAATTTTTCATTTATGTTGACTAGACAAGGAAGCAGATTCTACAAAACAAACTGAAAAAGGAAAATCTGGGAAAAAAATTCAGTCTGTGTCGTCTAGTTATGGAGTTGTCGCTAACAAAAAGGAGAAAGATGGAAAATCTATTGAAGGAGGTGCAACTGAAGGGAAGGTTACTGGGGGTGAAAAGAATGTTCAGGTGAAGGATGGCAGTGAAATAACTGTTGAAGGAGGTCCTGAGAAAAAAGAAAGTGGAGAAGCTCCTGCTGCTACTGCTACTGCTACTGCTAAGACAGGTGCTGTAAAGTCTGTGAAGAAAAAGATTATAAAGAGGATTGTCAAACAGAAAGTTGCAACTAAGACAGCTGTGGAAGTAAATATTGCTAGCAAACAGAGCAACAGGGTTGATGAAGATGTTGGAGAGCAGAACACTAAATCAGAGACTACCGGTCAACAGGAAGAATCATCTGCTGCTAGTGCCGGGGTGAAAACTTTTGTACGGAAAAAAATTACAAAAAGGAAGCTGCTGTTAAAATGATCAGAGTGAAGATAATGGAGTTCCCCCTGAGGCAAAAGTGGAGGTAGAAACAGGATGCTCTGAGGATAAGCCAAAGGATAATTCAGATGTCACTTCTGCAGCTGTAGAGAATGCCGGTGTGAAAACAACTATAAAGAAGAAAATTATTAAGAGGGTGCCTAAAAGAAAGGTTCCTCCTACACAAGCTAAGGGTGAAGTAGCTGAAATTAAGAATGAAGGTGGTGAGGATGACAAAAGGTGGTTCAGGGTGGTGGCGAGACCTCAAATTCAGAAAAACTAAGTATTGATATAAGTTCAAGTAAATCAGAAATCAAGGCTGACAAGGAGAATAAAAAGGATGAAAGTTAACTAATGCGGAGTCTCCGAGTGACAAGAAAAAGGTTAACACGAAGGATACTTGTGATGTCAAGGGGGGGCAATTGAAGGAGGGGGGAAAGCCAAAAGATGACAAAGATTTTAAAGATGAATCCCAGAGTAATTCTAACAAAGAATCAAAGAAGGAGGAAGCCTGAAGAACCTTCTCTGAAGAATCCTGGATTGATTCTACAAACAAAGTGGAGCAAGGATTCTAAAGTAAGTTAATGATATTTTTGAAGCATGGCCTGAACTTTTGTGAAGGAAAATGTTTTTTATTCATAAACTATCTAAATTTCTATATTTTTCTAATTATGAGTTTGCCTGCAGTTGCGACCAGTGTCCCTGTCACTGGATTCACTTTTGGATTATACTGATAAGGACATTGAAGAATCGACATTTGAGGTTTTGTTTCCCTCGTTACCTTTCTGCCTTAATATGTACATTTTTTTAATATTGCCATCTTATATAGATTTTCGTTTATAACTTCATGACATCTGAAGCTATTTTTTTTCTTACTTTATTTACATCTTGTCCATTCCATTTTTGCAGCTTTCATTATTTGCCGAGGTGATGTATGAAATGCTTCAGTATCAAATGGGTTGCCGTATTTTAACATTTCTCCAGGTTGGTTTATGATGATTTAGTCTTATTTTACTTTATTCCTATAAAAAGATTTTTCACTGACATCCTTTTTCACTTTGTAGAAACTGCGACTGAGATTTATGAGCAAAAGAAATCAGCGCAAGAGACAACGGGAAGAAATCCATGATAAGGAAACCAAGAAAAAGTCTCCAATGAAAAAATCAAAAAGCAGTGAGCTCCCTGTGAAGAAAAATGAATCTGCTAAGGCAGACGCATTAAGTTCAGCTCACGAGAACTTTGAAATGACTGTGACCAAGGAAGATATTACTGCTGATCATGTTGAGGAGCCAAGGAAGACAGCGGCAGAAAATAGTGCTGATCATGTTGAGGAGCCAAACATAAAAGATGAAGTAGATGAAGATTCAGAGGAAGATCCTGAAGAATATGAAGAAATGGATGATGCAAATCCACAACCCAATTCCTCTAATGAGGTAAAGTTTCCTCCTGTTTGCACAGGGAAGCTGAAATGATTTTTGTTGAACATTATTTTCACTTGAGGGTTTTTGGACACATCCCTTGAATTTCAATCACGTCTTTAGGGTAATTTGTGTTGGTGAATTCATTTTTATATGATAGTGTTGTTATTTATCCTTATCACTGAAAGAATTGTAACTCAGAAAAATGAAGAGAAGGAACAAACAGAGGCTAAGCCTGACAAGGAGGCTGAGAAGAATGAAGCTGCAGAATCCACCAAATCAGAAATCGCCACAAAAGCTGCTAGTATGGAGCCTGATCCTGAGGGAGATGTGTCTAGAAAGGAGGAGCAGAAAGTTGATCCTAAGAAGAAGGTGTATGTTACAGACAAGGATTTGTTGCAGGTATTTTCTATTTCACTGTCATTTCCCTTTGCCTTGAGTCTTTTCCTATTAATATAGTGGGGATTGTTTTTCTTCCCTTATTAATGGAAGCCTCCCTTGTAATAGGCTTTCAGGTTTTTTGACCGGAATCGAGTCGGCTATATTAGGGTAAGACATACTTAATTGGTATATATTCTCTCACACTAGTGATAGTGACCATTTATTATTATTGTGCAGGTGGAAGACATGAGATTGATTATTCACAGTTTGGGGAAGTTTCTTTCTCATAGGGATGTCAAAGTAAGATTGGTTTTGCCGTTGTTTGTGTCATATAATTTGGCTTTTATTGCACTGTGGATTTTTTGATGGCTTTGTCTACCTGCATCAGGAACTAGTGCAAAGTGCACTTTTAGAGAGCAACACAGGAAGGGATGACCACATTCTTTATGACAAGCTGGTTCGAATGTCTGACGTATGAAATTGTTTTGGGTACGACTGTTATATATAATCTGCTTTGCATCTATTGATAAACAGCCATTAAAGAGTGATTCCTAGGAGCTGAAGTCCGAGTCCCAGATATTTGAATGAAGGGTTTTAACTGGTCACTCTTAATGTAAGCTAGTTGCTCATAGCAGCCTGTGTGATGACTTGGCAATGCGACATGTGTTAGGTGGTCTGGTTTTAGGTTTTTAGCGTTGATCTTGCTTTCGTTTTCCTTAATTGACTGGGAATTTGGCTGTAGTACTTTAGCCAATAAATTGTTTAGTTTTTTTTTTTGGATAAATGAAGTATTATATTCAGATAAATTACATCCTTACATAGGGATTCCACTTCTCCGCCCGGGGGGGGGGGGGAACAAATTCCCTATATAATTTTGAGAACCAAGTTTAACTATCAATTATCACCGCTTCGCATTTAGAAAGTAGTAAAGAATCAGGATATATAAATTTGTTGTAATTCGAAAGTCTAGCTCTAACATCACGTTTAATATGTAAAAAATTCTTTGCGCTTGTCTTGATGTTTTATCATGGTCTTTCTTGCTTCTCTCATGTAAAATATAATAGTTAAAAGTGTAAATTACAAATATGGTAATTGAATTTTATTCTCTTTCCTATTTTATTCATTGAACTTTGAAGCTTTTCAATTTAATAATTGAACTTTATATATTGATTCTTTTTTGTCTATGATGATATGGATTATTTTATTAGTATTTTCATATAATGTGTTATATTTTATTAATATTTTTAATATCAAATTAGATTATAATGAAAAACAAAATTAAAAATTCTATATTATACGTGAAAATTTCACTTCCCCTTCCTTTTAGGAAAGATTAAGATTAGATTTAAAATTTGTTAAAAAAAATAAAACACTAAAAACTATTATTAAATCATGATTGAATCCATCAAGTTTTCTTCATAAAAGTACATTTTGTTTTATAATTATTCAAATGAAAAGTGACCCTAAAATGAATCATCATAGTTAAAATTTTCCACAAGATTTACAATTTATTCACAGCACTACTTACTCTTTTCTAAGTTTTAACAGTTATTGAAATCCTTCAAATTTCGCAAAAGAGAAGTCATTGTAAAATTGGAGGCTCACTTCTTTTCTTTTGTTGACTAACTTTCTCTTGTCGACTAAGGGATTGTTTGTTTGCCTCAGTAACACCCCAATTTAGGGGCTAAATTTAAGAAATTATAAAATGATGAATTTAATTGGTATTTTGAAAGAAACGGTAGATTAAATTGTAAAATTTCAAAGTTGGCATACCGTTTTAAGAAGTGCAAGAAATTCAGTGGTTAAACTCATGATTTGACTATTTTTGTTTATGAGAAAATATAAACCCTTTTCCCTGCGCAGTTTCCATATTGTTTCCCAATTTTCATCCTCTATCAACCCTCTTTTCAACTCCGATCTTCTCGCTGTCCGACCTCCGATCGACGAACCAAAACCACCATCGTGTTCGTTATCGATCGATGAACAAAACCCCTCAAACCTCTCGTTGTGAATCTTCGCCGTTCGTCGTTAATTTCAATCGGAAGTATCGTCGGTTTTAACTCAATTTCAGTTGGTTTTTCATCGACTCACGTCGATCCGACCATCCGTTTTCGACACCTCCCGCACCATCGTCTTCCTTACATCATTCCGAGTCCACCAGTATTCTCCGTTTCTCCGTCGTCGCTGACGCGTAGAGGGGTGAAACCGTCAAAGTTTTCAACGTTTCGGAATCGAGCTCTACGCCATTCAAAATTGTAAACCGAGTTTGGTAAGTGTCTCAAATGCCTTAAAATAATTTTTAGGAATTTTTACGGGAATTTTCTGACACCGTATCACTATTCACACGCCGCACGTGCCACCACTGCGAGTAAGGGATGCTAATTTTGTAATTAATTTCTATTAGGGTGATATTTGTGTAAAATTCGGGTGTTAGTTTTGTAAATATTTTTCGAATGTGGCTAAATTTGTAATTAATTTCTGTTAGGGTGATATTTGTGTAAAACTGTTGACTGTTGACCTGCGTTGACCGTAAACCGGTGTTGACCATAACTTTGACTGGCGTTGACCGGCCGTTAAACGACCGTTGACTTTTTCCTGTTACACCTATCCTGACATTTTTCGATGTTCTGAGTTTGATTATGCAGTTCGTTTTTCGAAATTCAGACCCGAAAGTCTCGAAATTGCTAGTCAACCCCATTAACTTTGATTTTGATCGAAAAGTCATATTTTATGTTTTTCGACGTCCTGAATATGTTTTTGGGGCCTGTTTCGCCAAACTCGATCCCGATAAGTTGTTTTTGACTGATTTATCACTAGATTAGATCCGTTTTCAGAATTAAGCTCTGTTTTTATGAATTTCCTATTGATATGCATATGAGGAATTATTGGAAGTTGATTTCAAAATCGAGGGCGTTCAAATGGAATTTAATGGTCGATCAGTATGACACGAAAATCGAGATAATACTTTACTACTTCTTTATGCTTATTGGAATATGTTGATATTGGTAAATGCATGAATAAGATAATATTGATCTCATATGTGTAGTTAATTAATTTCTACACTCGATCTGAATACGATAAAAATTCGGTAACTGATTATGGTTCAGATGACTTTTATAAAAAAATTGAGGGATTGTTCGAATTAAAATTTTAAGTTTTGTCTTTAGTGATAAAGGAATCAGCTTGGATCTGTAGCATATAATTTATTTTATCAAAGGTACTTAGATGGGAAAATATGAGAATACTCTGGTAGGATAAAATTACGAAAATACCCTTATGTTGTAAAAAGACAAGATTTGACCATAGAAGTTTGATAAAGGATTTTTAAAGACATATTGATCTGGTGAAACTATTGATGTGGATAAAAAATGCTAGTTTTGCTTAGAAAATTTGGATAACTAGTTTTAACCCAAGAGGGTTTGAGCAATATTCTATGAGTATGTTAAGGAATCATTTCAAGATCAAAGAATGTTTGGGAAAGCAATTAACCATAGTGTTGAGTTAATCGATCGATGGAATCAGCCAAGAGGGGGTGAATTGGCAATTAAAATTTTGGTGGAAGTTTTTGCAAAAAATTGAAAGGAATTGCACATCGATTTAGAGTGGTTCGACTTTCTCAACCAAAGTCTACGTCCACTACCTTAGCTATCCACACTAAGGATTTTCCACAAATTCACTAATTTGTCTTTCTTTTGAGGACAAAGAGTAACCTTACAAATCCCTCAAGAATTATACCCCAAATTCTTGAGAACACTCTCTCCCAAAGAGAACAATACAAATTTTGCAAACTTACAAGAAAATCCTCACAAGGCAAGATGTTTGCACAATTCTTGAACAAAGAAAGAACACTCAAGAATAATAAAATTGAGCACAATACGTGTTCTTGAAAGCAAAAATGAATATTGAATGAAATAAGCTTGAAAATGCTCAAACTTGAGGTTTGATGCTTTCTCTTTGATTCTCTCTTGATTCTTGTTGATTGTTGTTTCTTATTTTTGATCAATGGCTTCTAAGCTTGTTTAAATACACCTTCAAATGATTCTGAACGTTGGGGATGCTTAGTGGAGTCAATATAGTCGTTTAAGTGTGAAAACAATTAATAAATTCAGTTGGGAGCGTCAGTGCATCGATGCATACCCATGGTGCATCAGTGTAAAATTCAAATATTTTGACCGTTGGACCCTTAGTGCATCGGTGCACTAAGAGTGCATTGATGCATCAAGTGCATTCGATGTTTCAAAATAGCCAGAGTGCATCGATGCATGGATGGTGCATGGATGCATCAAATGCATTCGATGTTTTCATAAAATCCTCAGTGCATCAATGCATGGTATGTGCATCGATGCATGAAATACAGTCGATGTTCAATTTAATTCATGGTGCATCAATGCATGGATTGGTGCATCGGAGCATCACTCTGAAAAATTGATTTTAGGCTTGATTTTGGTTCAAAATACTTTGTGAAAATTGTTTCAAAAATATATTAAGTATAACACACAATTTTACACTTTTAGTAAGGTTTGAATTTGAACTTGAAAGACTTGGAGTAATTCGATTAATTAAATCTAATATACTTAGAAAATCATTTGTAAAATCTTAAAATTCATTTAAACTTAATTTGTTATATCGAAACACAAAACTGTTTTCAACAATCTCCCCCTTTTTGATATAAAAAAAACATTTTTGTTATTTTAAGATTTTCAAAAAAAAAATTGAAATCAATTTTGAAAAATTACTCCCCCTTACTATAACACTTCTCCCTTTTAAAACATTTAAAACATTGTAACACTTGACATTTCTCCCCCTTTTTGTTAAATCAAAAAGACTCAAAAATTTAAACAAGGTTGTGAAAAACATTTAGCCAATTGATTAGTAATATAGCTTAAGCTGCTAAGATCACAATCAAGCAAAACATTAGCCATTAGTTTCATAATCAATATTCATAATCAAATGTGAAATGGCATAATTGGTCATAATGCAACTAATATGAAATTGATGCAAAAAAAATTAATAAATATTAAGCTTAAAGTGAAAATTCAAATCAAACCAATATATATATCAAGTTTAAAAACCAGAAAGATCCAAATTATATCTTCAAACAAATTCAAACAATCCAAATAAAAATAATAATCCCCAAAGTATTCAAAACATTTTAACAATAAAAGTTCAAAGATGATCCAAAACAAAACAAGGTCTACACGTCCATAGAGGGATCGGGAGGCAGAGGAGGAAATCGGGCTTGCATCTCAAGAGAGAGAGCATCCATGCATACAAGCATCTCCCTTTGAAATTCCACCTTTCGAGCTTCCAAAGTGTCTAAGCGTTGATTTACTGCTTCGTGAGTAACAGTCAAGTGGGATTCGATGGAAGCATACCGTAGATCAAATGTCTCCAAAAATGAACGAAAATATGGAGGCATTTGATCCTTTTGTGGAGCTGGTTGCGGTGCAGGCTCATTGTCTGGAACGCGATCGTCAATATCTTGCATAAGTTGTTGAAACTCAGGATCATCGTTAGCAGCCAGAGGAGGAGGAGGAGCACAAGAAGAGCTAGGAGCAGCTCGTGAAGAGCTAGCTCCCGGGGTTTACTTACCGGGTCGAAATACCCAAAGACCAGTTTCCTCGTCTTGTTTCCAATCCGCTTTCTTCAAGGAGGTAAGATTGATTTGGTTTTGGAGTGGGATTAGATTGTCGAGAGAGATGTCTAGACCAAGTTTGATAAAGAGGTTACTAAGAAGACATCCATAAACTAATGTTTCGACATGTTTTGAAGGAACAATGTTTATGACATCAACTAGTTGATTGAAGATAATATGGGGTAGATTTATTTTGATCTTATTCTTGAGACAGTGCATCCACCACAAATCCCTAATACGAAGAGTGGAGTACCTACCTCCGGATAGTCTAAACCACCAAGAGATCATCAGATGAAGAAAACAATCGTGATGAGATCGTAGAGTACTAACACTAGCATTTGAAACATAGAGATAATCTACAGTTTCATTCTCATTATATAACCCATCATCATCTAATCCAAAACGTGAAGCTATAATCATGGGGTCAATATTAATATATTGGCCTAAAAGATATGATCTAATGGCTATAGTCCCACATTGAGTTTCGTTTTGAATACATACCGCATTGGAATAGAAAATGCGGACTAACTGTTGATAAACGATAGGTTTGAGCTGAAACATTTTATCAAATTTCCAAACTTTAAGAATTGGAAGGTATTCAAAGTTAATATCTATCATAGCTTGAAGAGAAGGAATACGCTCTTTCCGGATTCTATAAGTTTGAAAAGAATTTCTGTACCTAGAGTACAATTCGTCTCTACCACGCTCAGGCATGTTAAAACAAGATCCTAATAGAAATGAAGGTGGAGGAGGAATGAGATTAGGAGGTTGGTTTGAACGAGAACGAATCGATGAAGTTCTAGGGCGTTTGGGATTAGACATAGTTTAGGAATCGGAAAAAGGAATATAACCTGCATATTGAAACACATGTATGCAATTTAATCAATCCCAAAACTCAAATGAGTCCGCAATAATTCAAGGTTCTCTAAATCAAATTCTAATGGGCATAGTTTTTGAAAAAACTATTTAAAAAACAACATTTGAAAATTATAATATGTATAGTTTTATATGAAGACAACATAATTAAATAAAAAACATCAAATTTAAAAACTAAAATCAGATTTTTTATTTTTTTATTTTTAATTTCGAAAATTAAAAAATTTATTGAAAATTTATGAGTTTTTGATGAAATTGGTTGTAAAATCTAGTTTATAATCATCAAACAATCAATGTCCGATATAATGTTCATCCTAGAACTAATCTAAACTAGTCATAATATCAAAAATAGAGTTTTTGAAATATTACCTTGAAAATTTTTGGATTTGAGGGAATGTGATATTGTATTGCACGATTTGATGATAAAAACATGATTAGGAGTTGAAAAGCTTGAAGATTCTGACAAAATTTCGTTGATTTGAGCAAAATGAGGATTTAGAGAATGAGAGGGACGAGCGGCTAGAGAGGTTTAGTTTTTAGGTTTTGAACCAAATGAAAAAATAAGCCTTTTAAACCTAAATCCCGACGGATGCATCTATGCATGGCCTTGTGCATCGATGCACATACAAGGCGTGCATCGGTACATCAACATGATGAATCGATGCACATTCAAAGGGATGCATCGATGCACTGTTAAGTGTATCGATGTATTAAGCACATAAATGACAAAAAAATTGTTTTAAACACTCAAAATGCTAAATTAATTAGCTCTAGTGGTATTGGTAACTCATATATTGAAAATTAATCATGTTCAATTAATCAAATTAATCCTTAAGATTCATTTGAACATAAAATTAATTTTCTCTAAAGAACATAAACTCCTCCTAACTAATAGCAATGAATGCAATAAAAAATTATCATTATATGCATTTTTCATTTTATTATTAAAAATGCTAAAATCATTTTAAACACTAAGTGAAGATAGATTAGTTAAACCTAATTCTATCCTTAATGTCCAAAATCTTTCTTTGTCTAAAGGTTTTGTAAAGATATCCGCTAATTGATGCAAAGTATCAACAAATTCTAGAACTACATCTTCCTTAGTGACATGGTCTCTAATGAAGCAATGTCTTATTTCAATGTGCTTAGTTCTAGAGTGTTGGATGGGATTTTTAGTGAGACAAATAACACTAGTATTGTCACACTTGATAGGAATGATACCTACTTCAATTCCATAATCAAAAAGTTGTTGTTTCATCCATAAAACTTGTGCACAACAACTACTGGCTGAAATATATTCCGCTTCAGTGGTAGATAATACGACACAATTTTGTTTCTTTGAAAACCAAAGAAATCATCATATTTCCAAGGAATTGGCAAGTACCGAAGGTGCTTTTCCTATCTAATTTGTATCCTCCATAATCCGCATCAGAGAAGGCATGCAAGCTAAAGCTAGAGTCTCTAGGTACCAAAGTCCTAAACTAGGAGTGTCCTTAAGGTATCTAAAGATACTCTTAACAACTAGTAAATGAGATTCCTTAGGGCATGATTGAAATCTAGCACATAAGTAAACACTAAACATAATGTTCGGTCTACTTGTAGTTAGATAAAGCAAAGAACTAATCATTGACCTATATAATTTAACATCCACACATTTACCTCCTTCATCTATGTCAAGCTTTGTCGATGAGCTCATTGGAGTGTTATGTGGCTTCCCATTTTCCAGTCCAAACTTCTTGAGCATATCTTTGACGTACTTAGCTTGATTGATGAAGATGCCATCTTTTTTTTTGCTTGATTTGGAGTCCCAAGACAAATGAGAGCTCCCCCATCATGCTCATCTCGAATTCACTTTGCATTAGCTTAGAAAATTCTTGGCAAATAACATCATTAGTAGAACCAAATATTATATCATCAACATAAATTTGAACTACTAATAGATATTTACCTTTATGCTTTAAAAACAATGTAGTGTCAACCTTCCCTTTTGAAAAACCTTTTTCAATTAAAAAATTTAACAATCTTTCATACCAAGCTCTAGGAGCTTATTTTAAACCATAAAGTGCTTTTTTCAATTTAAGAACATGATTTGGAAATTTTAAATCTTCAAAACCTGGAGGTTGTTCCACATACACTTCTTCCTTTATAAAACCATTTAAAAATGCACTTTTAACATCCATTTGATATAATTTAAATTCATGAAAACATGCAAATGCTAATAACATTCTAATTGCTTCCATCCTAGCTACGAGAACATATGTTTCATCATAATCTATGCCCTCTTCTTGAGTATAGACTTGAGCAACAAGTCTAGCCTTGTTTCTCACTATATTACGACTTTCATCAAGCTTATTCCTAAACACCCATCTAGTACCTACAATAGATTTATTACTAGGCCTTTCAACTAATGTCCATACTTTACTTCTCTCAAATTGATTTAACTCTTCTTGCATAACCATAATCCAATGTTCATCTTTTAATGCTTCTTTAATATTCTTAGGCTCTATGCATGAGATAAATACAACATAATTACAAATATTTCTAAGAGAAGATCGAGTTGTTACCCCTTTTGATGGATCACCTATAATCTCCCCATCCTTGACATAGTTGTATTCTCTTGGGTAAGATACTTCCCTTTCTTCAATGGTTGGATTCTCGAGAGGATCTTGAGTTTCCTCATCTTTCGTTTCTTCCTTTGATGATGGTTCTCCAACGTCATGTTCACCGTCATTTATATTTATAATACCTACATCATCATTCAAACAAGAATCCTTCATCGGAAGGGGATTATCATCGAAAACAACATGTATAGACTCTTCTACAACTAAAGTTCTTTTATTAAATACTCGATAAGCTTTAGAATTTAAGGAATAACCCAGAAAAATTCCTTCATCAGTTTTAGCATAAAATTTGCCAAGATTGTCTTTACCGTTGTTTAAAACAAAACATTTACATCCAAAAGGATGAAAATAGCTAATGTTAGGCTTTTTATTTTAAAAAAGTTCATATGGAGTTTTCTTCAAAATAGGCCTAATCATTACTCGATTAATAACATAACAAGCAGTATTTGTGGCTTCTGCCCAAAAATATTTTGGCAAATTATTTTCACAAAGCATGGTTCTAGCCATTTCTTTTAAAGTTTGATTTTTCCTTTCAACAACTCCATTTTATTGAGGGGTTCTAGGTGCTGAAAAATTATGACTAATACCATTAGAATTACAAAATTCAGTAAATCCAAGATTTTCAAATTCAGTTCCATGATCACTCCTAACACTAGTTATAGAGTAACCTTTTTCGTTTTGGATTACTTTTGAAAACGTGATGAATTTTTCTAATGCTTCATCTTTAGTACTTAAGAATATAACCCAAGTATATCTAGAATAGTCATCTACCAAGACAAATGCATATTGTTTTCCACCCAAGCTAGTAGTTCTAGTTGGCCCAAAAAGATATATATGAATCAATTGTAATACTCTACTAGTTGATATATCATTAATGAATTTAAAAGAAATTTGCTTTTGTTTTCCTTTAGAACAAGCATCACAGATTTTATCATTATCAAATTTAAGCTTAGGCAACCCTTGAACTAAATTTCCTTGAATTAGCCGTTGCAAAACACTCATACTAGCATGTCATAGTCTCCTATGCCATAACCAACTATCATGCTCATCCTTAGCAACTAGGCATAAATTAGTCATATCAATAGAGTCTAAATGCACCATGTATATGTTTCCTATTCTATGACCAACAAGCATAATTCAATTAGATGCAATGTCAATAACTTTACAACCATTAGTTTCAAACATGACATTGAATCATTTATCACATAATTAACTAATACTTAAGAGATTATGCTTTAATCCATTCACATATAAAACATTTTTAATTTGTATGGAAGAGGTATTACCTATAGTACCTATACCTTCGATGTGACCTTTTAAATTATCACCAAAAGTCACTTCTCCTCCATTTTTGGCGTTAAGCTCTATGAACCTGTTTTTGTCTCCGGTCATGTGTCTTGAACATACACTATCAAGGTACCATGAATTTGAATTTATTTCCCGTGCCTTGTAGAAATGCTCATTTTCCTACAAACATAGATTAATTTCTAATTTTTGGTACCCAAATTCTTTTGTGTCCATATTCATTAGTTTCCAAAATCCTAGTCCCCTTAGGTATCCATTTGTGTAGGATATCTTTATCTTTAGTAGTAATAAGTCCTTTAGGAACCCATATATTTCTAACGATTTTTCCATTAGAGGTTCTTCAGGGACCTCTATGATTGTAGTTTTTAAAACTTTTTCTAACAAAGTTGGATTTTGAATTTTCTCCATTTTCAAAACGTTTTGTTCCAACTTTATCAAAAGAGTTTTTAAGATCATCAATTTTCTTTTGATGATCATCATTGACCTTTGAAAGTAAATTTTGCAAATCCAAAATTTTCTTTTCAAACTCTTCTAGTTTGATTTGCAAATCTTTGATTTTACTTTCAAGATCGTTGTTGGTTTTGGATATGAGTTTATTTTCATTTTTATATTTTAAAAACAATTTCTCATAATCCGAAGCAAACCCATTATAGTCCTCTAATAGCTCATCATAAGATAAATTGTCAAATTCAGATGAGTTAGAGGTTATCTTAGAATCTTCCCCGAATGCCATCAAGCACAAGTTTGCTACTTCTTATTCCTCTTCATCGAAACCCTCTTCATCACTCCATGTAGCCACATAAGCCTTGTGCTTATTCTTTGATTGACCCTTTCTTTTCAATTGTGGGCAATCATATTTGACATGCCCTGACTTTTTGCATTCATAGAAAATGATAGGGTCTTTCTCTTTTGGTTCATTTTTTAGGCCTTCATTTCGTTTGAATTTTCTTCCTCGGTAAGTTCTCATCATTTTTCTGAACCGTTTGACAAACAATTCCATTTCCTCGTCATCGCCATCTTCACCCGAATCACTCTCATCTTTTGTGGATTTGAGAACAACTCCAATGTTTTTCTTCTCCTCCTTCTCCTTTGGTGTCTCGTCAATCTTATCGAGGTCCACCTCATCTTCAAGCATCATTTCATGAGTGAAGAGGGAATCGATTAGCTCTTTAAGAGTTAAGGACTTTAGGTTCTTAGCCTCGATGATTGCAGTCATCTTGGATTGCCATGATTTTGGAAGTGACTAAACTAACTTCCTCACAAGCTTTTCGTTTAGAATGATCTCTCCATATGATTTGAGACCATTGACAATTGTTGAGAATCTATCCTTCATAGCTTTGATATCTTCATTTGGTTTCATCCTGAAATTTTCATAGCTATGTGTTAGAAGACTAATTTTAGATTATTTTACCTCGTCAGTGCCTTCATGAGTGACTTGTAGTTTATCCCATATTTCTTTGGCGGTTGTACAAGATGAAACTCTTCCATATTCATCTGGTCCAAGAGCATAAAATATGATATGGATTACTTTGGAGTTGAGTTGGAACATTCTTGTCTCTCATTCACTCCACAATCTTGAATGAGTGAGAGGCTTGATATATCCGTCTTCTAAAACATTCCATGCTCCCATATCACTTGCTTGAATGAAATACATCATCATATTCTTCCAATAGGCATAGTTAGCTCCATTGAAGAAAGAATGCTTGTTGACGGGCATCGAATCGAGATCGGAGTCGACATTTAAAGTAGAGGCCATTGATGACTTGATAATCGATGTAACTCTTCCCGAATCGACTCAAGAGGCGATTAAACCTTCAAATGAGTGAGGCTCTGATACCAATTGTTGAGTTAATCAATCAATGGAATCGACCAACAGGGGGTGGATTGGCAATTAAAATTTTGGTGGAAGCTTTTGCAGAAAATTGAAAGTAATTGCGCAGCGATTTAGAGTGGTTCGACTTTCTCA